GCAAGCCAGGAGATTCTGTTACAAACCTATGTCGCGGGATGGAGGCCGAAGCCTGTTACAAACCCAATGTTTTTGATTCACAGCCATATAATCCCTACATAAAATCTTCCCTTGTTCCCTACTAACCCCCAGTAAGACATGTAGAGTGATGAAATCACAAAACTAAAGCAACTCAGAGGGCTGGGACTCACCAAGCCTGAAGATCTTTCAAGCTTCCAGGTGCAGAAATGCTAATACTTGGGTCACAAAAAACAACTGCTGCGATAACCAGATGGGGGCACAAGTAAGTTCCTCTGAGATACTAGGACCTTCTAGCTTTGTGCGGGGCATAGAGTCCAACCAACCAGGGATGGATTAGAGCCCAGCAGCTTGAAAGCGTCACAAGGATGAAGAAGGAGAATGCTAGGCTGAAGACTTTGCGAGCAGGGCCTGGTGTACGGAAGATTGCTGTTTAAGGTTGAGGCTTTAGGGTTTCAAAGTTGCCAATTTTGGCGGGAGGAGAGGTGCTCGGGTAGTCTACTTGCTGGAAGTCGCAGAAGGCTTTTGACATGGATTCTATTCATCTGACTGTGCAGCAAATATGGAACAAGACGTAATGACTGAACATGACTAAATTGTTTGAAGACTGACTGTTCAGGCTCCCAGTGTTTGGGAAATTTTGGGTGGAATATGTGGACTTTTCAGATCGTACGTCGGGCGCATGCAAAAAGCGTTTGTTGAAGATGGCCGATCTCGTGTGCTAGCCTGCCTCAATGGGATTCGAGGCCTTCAGGGTCAAAATCTTGCACTAGTCACGAAGCCCTCCTCCCCCAAACAAGTTTAGACCCGAGACCGAATGACGTGATTGTCTTCTTTGTGGTAGCAAACGGAGGTATGAAGACGGGACAAGCGCAGCACGCGAGGGCATACTCATCTGAATATCGTATCATATAACTGACTCTCTGACTGACTTTCTGTGTCTCTCTCTCTCTCTCTATCTCTCTGCAAAGTTTTCCTTTGGTGGTCAAGGCGCAAATAAACAAGAAAAACGCAGTCTTTGCATGTGCCTAGATTGCTCGGTGTGGCTTATGACGAAAAATGACGCGTGACAACATGTGCACAAAGTGCTATCTGGATGCCCGATGACATCGGTTCATGTTATCGTGATGGGCTACTCCTAAACCCTAAACCCTAAACCCTAAACCAGCCCTGCCAGCCTTGAGCTGGACATGGTTCGAGGCATGTTGGGGTTTGGAGCTGGACGGTGGGCACGTGTCACAAAAGCGAGAAGAGGACCTCACACTTAGCTCTTCTGAAGCATCCTAAACAGAGCTCCGCAGTTCTTCAAAGACGCAGAAACGTAGGTCCTCGAATGCTACAAATCAAGCATGTTAAAGCATGCCAATGCCGGTCCACCACTTCCTTCAAGCATCCCGACATTCGCAAAGACTCTTTGTCTAAGGCCCAACCTATGCGCCCTGTCGTGCATCTCAGAACCTTGCTTATGATCCTCACAACCAAAAGCCGCTGTAACAGTTTTGAAGTTCAAAGCCATCCTGTCCTCTATCAACTTCGTGGCTGCTTTGCCCAAGCAGGAAGTCATGCCAGACGTAGAAGAAGAACCGACAGAGCTCCTCTCTAAAGAGAGGCAGGATCGTCATTTTTGCAGAGCTTTTACAGAGCTTATTAAGCTGCGCAAAAATGAAAAGGTTGGCAGTGAGCAGCATTACTGTAAACAGGATAAAGGGTATGGCAAGGTTGTAGGCGGTGTTGATGGAAGCTCTGCAAATATGCTGCTATGGAACGATGGCTTGGCATCTCCGTTGAGGGGTGAAGGGTTGAGGGCTAGTAGTTGAGACCTGTCTGGCGGCCACTATGCCGGAACCAGTACCGTCCCAGGAATGCAAGATAACGCAAGTCTAGGTGGCTAAGCTTCTTCAGCTAATTCCAGTACAGCACCCGGGACTGCAACCGTAGATCGCTACGTGCTCCGCAGAAGACAAAGCAAGATGCTTCCCTTTGCGGCCAGGGCTCTCTCAAACTCCAAGAGAATCCTTTCCTTTCCTCTGAGGGCATGTCGCAGATCTCCACAATCCACAGAACAATGGACAAGCCGCAAAGAAAGGCGAAGACCCCGAGCCAGGCATCTATAGTGAAAGGCAGGAAGGGCCTCTCCAGATAGGACGCAAAAGTCACCTCCTCAACTTTTCTGGGCACGACCAGGTAGAACAGGTCCTGCCTTCCACCAGCTTTGCTACAACCCCATAGCATCCTTTATTCCCAATTACGCGGTTGGATGCAAGGCTTGGATTTCAGGAGTCTCCGCCAAAAACAAGATCTGACGACATAAAGAAAGTCAAGATGCCTGATAGGAGGCAGGAAGTAAGCCAAGCGATTTCGCTCAGCCGTGAGCCAAAGATCAGCGATGCAAACATCAAAGTGCCCAACTGCCACATCATGGACGCAGGCGGTGTAGCTGCCTGAAGCTGGCAGCAGGCTGCTGAAGCTAAAGTGTTCCAAGCTTTGAAAAAAAAGAAACTCTTGGGTGGTTGTCAAAATAATGGTCCTTTTTGGGGTACCCTAAATCTTAGGTGCCGTATTATAACAGGTATCTCAAAAGGGATTATAATTTTGACCACCACCCTCTTCCCTGAAAGTAACTGCCAGCCCTGGAGCCCTGCTCTCTACAACATAGAACCACAGGATGACAACAAAGCAACCAACTTCCCTTCCCAGTGCCAGCCTACAGTCCCCCTTAAGTAGATAGAATATAGGGATTATATTATGGGGATAATGGAAAAGAAAATGGAAAAATCACTATTTAGGGTTTAGGGGCAGAATATAGGGTGTCTGGGGATCTTATTATAACATACCCAAAGCCATATTCTATCTACTTAAGGGGGACTATAACTTGGCTGGGCTTTTCAGAACCCAGCTCAAAGAGTTTTCCAAGCGGGAAAGTACCAGCTGTCTCCCGACAGATACGGCCAGCACAGAGCTTATATTTCGGGAAGGACTCTTGGTTCCCCAAACATCACCCAGCGAGATCTTTTTCCACAAATGCCAAGGTGATGGATGTAGTTTCTCTGGGGGTGCTGGCAGGCAACGGCGGTGAAAAGAACCCACAAAAAAACAGAAGCCCCTGGATGCGGCTCTCTATCACCCAAATGACCTTTACACAGCGCTGGTGCCCTGTTGCAACCGTCGCAAAAAAATGGATACCGAAGAGACCCCTAGTGGACTGCCATACATCTCCGCAAACCCGTGTGCAGCCCATGAATCGAGGGACTTGTGAACTTGGCCAAGGACTGCGCGGTCGCCCAGCCAGGAAGCACCTCTTGTCAGCTACCTCCCTGATAACCCGAAATAGAGGTTTGCACCCATTCTACGGGCCTCGGTAATGGGGATTTGTAGTATGGTGGGAGCCATACTGGGATCCCCTATTTGCAGCAGCCCCAGGTCGCTTGCGGCAGCAGCTCTCATGTTTTTTGTCGCAAGGTGCTGCTTTCCTAGAATCCACACCTGCAACTGTAAACCGGATCGCTTTGAGCAACCTCGGTCAATCCCGCTGTATCCCTTGCTAGAGCCGTACCAATTGCCTGAAGGAAATTGAAAAACAGACCCACATCCTCAAGAAGCCTAAGCTTACAAATCTCCCTACATCCCCAGTTCAATCCCTACATACCTCCACTGGATGCCCGCCTGAAGTCTGCCCGGAGGCTCGAACATGGCGAGAACTTCCTGGAAGAAGTCAAAGCTTGCGCCTCCATACTCCAACGTGCCTCCGCGCAGCTTCAGGATTTCAACGCTTCTGGAGTCTTGAGGTTGAGGGCTTGGAGGTTTTGGGCTAGAATATGGTGGGATGCCTTAGTACCGATTTTCTCGTGCGCAGCTTCGAGCACTGCAGAGCAAGCCCTAGGAGGAGAGACAGGAAAGAACATCTTCATAGACCGCCGGCGGGGTCTTGTAACGAACGCTCGCATAGCTGAAGCATCAAGCATTCCATGGTAGAAACCCCTTTTGAAGCATAGGCCTGGGTTTCTGACCGGCGTCCTCAAAATGTAAGATTGTATTAGCGGCATGCTTCCAACTGAAACTCTCAGGCTTTTAACATCATATGAAATATTGGCAAGATTTGGCAAGTATAACATTCAGCGACCTGCAGCCCCAAGCCAAAGCGGCACTGACATCCACGAAAGCACGCCAAGATCCCTGAATCCCAAACCCTGCAACAGAAACCTGAATCTTGTGTCCTAAGACCCTAGATCTTCAAATGGGGTTTATAGCATGGGTTGTGGATTCACCAGAAACCATCGCATGTCTGCCAAGGCACCGCTGGAGTTGGTGCGCAGCACCCAGGGGGCAAATGGCGCAACAACCCCTTGGATAAGATGTCCGCTGACCTCAAAGCCGCAGGATACAAAAAGTGCGGAGTTAGGGCAGTTCTCAGGGTGCGCGGTCGTCCGTAAACTTGAAAAACGCCAGGATATTGCCTCTGTCCCCTGCAATATAGCTGCACAAGAAGAAGTATGGCGTTGAGGGTTCAGTAACATCTAATGCTGAGGGGTTCAGCTAAGAGAACTGGTCACTATGAGCTTGGAGGGCTGCGGCAACGCATTCCTCCAAAAGTCGGACTGAGAACCTGAGGCCTACGTGCATGATAGCAGAAAGCTACTTGTGGAACAACCTCAGGCTTCGACCTTGGATCTTCAGCTCTGGCGGCTTTGGCTCTTCGCTAGCAAATGGAAGCCATCCGTTAGTATCATTATTAGTACTACTGTTATTGTTATCGGTATTTCTATCTCAAGATCCTGAATTCTTTGTGCTTTCGCTCCTGTGCATGTGCTTTGTTAGATATGGCCGTGCCATTTTGTCCTGCGCAACCTACGCTGCCCAGCCGCCGATGCATAATGCCGAGTCATGTCGTAGTCGTTGACATAGCCGCAGGTCTCCTTACCCATATGGGAGTCTCCCAAAATCAGGGGTACCCTTTTATGGGTCCCAGTAATAAGGACTATAGTATTTTGAGATCTGTATTAGGGTCCCCTTATTTTGGGAATATGAACTATAATCTTAACTCCTAGTATTCCCCTTAATAACCACCCAAAAAGTATCACCTACATAATTCCCTATATTGCCCCCTTCAAGGAGTTTAGACTCTGGCTCATATAGATGAGTGGAAAAGAAAATGGACCCACTACTTAAGGCTTAGCGGTGTGTGGGTTTAGCATTTGGGGCTTATGCCTTTGGGTGTTGATCGTGGAGAAACTGCAATTCGCAAGTTGATGGCCCATGTCATGCTGTATTCTGCACACTTTGAAAGTCAGAGGTCACACAGTTCTCCTTGCAAATCCCCTACAGAAAGCCCAAAGCCCGACATGAAGGGCCTGCAGGAGAAAGCCCATGTCATGCAGACGCAGATTCCAGAAAATGTCAACTGCATACCCTGAGGTGTTGGGCCTACAGCTCAGGTGAAGGGCCAGGGCCCACATGCGCGGGACACGGATGCACATCATGTACATGAATCCAAAAAGGGATGCCAGCTCTTCTGCACAAGGAAATAGATAGTCGCACATGTACCTGTCTCAATTGCATCCAACTATATTGCTTGCTGGGAGATGACTCTGATGTACCTCGAGGCTACCTATCTACCCACAGACCCAAGCTTTCACCCACCCCCTTTTGGCAGGGATCCAACCTACAGGACTCCGAAGTCTGTTGAGGACCAGGCTGCCTTTATTTTTTTTTCTCATCTTTCAGGCTCATGATTAAGTGTCCTGACCTAGGTTGGCCCCTAAAACCCATTGAAAAATATTAGTATATATGGTCCCAAATTAAAGCCATTAAGGAAATATTAAATATCCCAGGGGCCTACCCAGTGACATGTGTGGCCTGGGCAGAAAATGCAGCCCCCGTCTGAACGCATCCCGATGAACGACCCCATCCTGATCAGATACTTGCAGGGAAGTCGCAGGAAGTCATCAGAATTTTGGACCCATGTTTAGAGGCGGGAGTGTCTCAGAACAAGCCTGCACAATCCTGACAGCGACCCCTGCCCTGTTTTCGGGGCTGGAAAAGCGCCCAAACCCCACCAGGGTCCTAGATGTAACTTCAAGAAAATGCCCCACGGGAGAGCAGAAAAGGATGCTGCCAGAGGGTCGTAGCTATAATGAACTGGTGACGAAATGTTCTCCAGCGTGTAGGTGTTTGTCGGCCGAGTTCCTCACTTGGCAGTTTCTCTAAACTACAAATGAGCCATAGTCTAAACTCCTAGTATCCCCCGTAATATCCCCTATAGTAGTCCCCTATACAAATCCCTATATAACCACCCTTAAAGGAGTTTAGACTATAGCTCAAATAACCTCCGGGATCTCGGGGAGCATGAATATGCCCTCCTTGGATTAGGAGTCGGAAGGAATGAAGGGAACATATTATCATATTATGGGCGACTCCCACCCGCCGCTGCCTTAAACCCAGAACGCAAGAATCTCTTTCGTATAAGGGTTCAGCAGGACTAGATACGGGACAACGACTGGATAACGCGAGGCTCCTCATATATGGGCCAGAAATCGATTGGTGGATTCTTCGCGGTATTGTCGGAACCATGGGTCTCATAAAGCGTGTCCAACAGGAAATGACCAAAGCAGCTAGACTGACCTTGATCAAGTACACTTTCGTGGTTCCCTTGCTCTAAAGACGACCTCAAGCTGCACGGCACAAGTGCACCCCATACCCACAAGCACCGTCACTGCAGCTGCTGCTACCGAACACGGCCAGCACATTTGGGCAAAACAAGCACCCGCACTGCGAGCAGGAGTTAGAACGAAGGCAATGACAGCCAAAAATTAACCAATAGCGCCTTTTTCTCAAGAATGGGAAATCACAAAGATGAACTCAAATGGTAGCTCAAAATAGACTCCAAACTAAATTATCCTTGTTGTAGGGACTCCCAAAAGGGTACCCCTCCTTTTGGTAAACCCCCCAAAGTCTCCCTGGCCAACGGCTCAAGTGCTCGAAACCGAAGGCTTCAAGCCTACACTTCGACTGTAGATGTGAACCTCAAGCCATATCGTCCCCCTTAAGTAGATATTACTCCAATAATGGAGAATCAAATGGAAAAGAACATGGAAAATGAAATGGAAACTAGGGAATATGTGCGGATTATTAGGGTTAATAATCCCCCTTAAAGTAGATAGAATATGGCTTTGGGTATGTTATAATAAGATCCCCATATACCCCATATTCTACCTACTTTAGGGGGACTATAAGCCAGAAAGTCTATATCCCCCCGCATGCACTCATACAAGGCCTACATAAAAGGACCCCCACATAAACACTGAACTTGAGCAGCAGGTGGTTAACTCATTTGAGAGAGGCACGGCAGTAGGGTGAAGCACTGCTTCCCAGTGAGCCGCCAGCCGCCTTGCAGCGGTTCTCATCCATGGGGCACCTGGGAGATTACCTATACAGTACTTATACTTGCTTAGTGTGCAACACTGGAAATGATGCTTTTAGCTTTCCCGGCAGAGTCCACTAAAAATAACATCTGTAGAAATCTGCTGTTAACCCATTCCACCATTCACAGCAAAGGATGTGGAGGCCTTCGAGGCTTGCACGGCCAACCACAAAGCAAGAAATTCCGAAAACTACCGTCGCAAATGCAAATTGGGCTTAGGGTATGGCATTCAGGACTTGTTAGGGCTAAGGATTTTTGCTTTTTGAGTTGTGGAGAAGGCCCCTGGCAGTCTGGTAGGGATCCCTGTAATGAGGATGCTTGAACTTCACAGTTGGACTTTGGAGTCTGGTCTGCAGGGTGTACGGCTCTGGGCATAAGGTCCGGGGTCTTGCAGCTTTTGTAGCACTTTCTAGGGATGTGAACTGACCATCAAGACCTTAGTAGAAAACAAACATTACCCCTATATAACCCCAACATACTATAGTAGTTTCCATTTTCCTTTCCATTATCCTCTAACAACCCGATATACCACAGTAGCGTTGGGGGTCTGGGCTTGACATGGAAAGGATTCGAAGCAATCCAAATGACGCAACATCTCTTAGACGTCGCTTCCCAAACCATCTGTCTTGGGATGTCTTGGCACTCCCTGCACTTTTTGTCTGTCCCAAAAATATGTATTAGTTTGACTATTGCGCGTGGAACCTTAGATCCTTGTCATGGTGGGTGTCGCTAGTATGAAATGGGGCTTCGCCTGCAAAGCCAAGTGAGGCACGGGCTGAAAGAGCACGACGTAATCCCTGTCATGGCCTTTTTGGGGTTATATACAGGGGACACACAGGGGCTACGCAGGGACGAAGGGTCTCTAGGGATATATAGGGGACACACAGGGGCTCTTCAGGGACGTAGAGATGTAGAGGCCAGCATGCCATACTAGGGCACAAGGGCCTGAAAAGGAGAAGTCACTCCAAAGCACCAAACGCTTTCTATTGCAGTTTATGAATATCAGTATTGATGTTGTGGTTCTTAACAATATTACTAGCATGATTCTCATCATCATTATTATTACTCTTCTAAATATAATGCTTACTAGTTCTTGCCCTGTACTCCCCTCCCACCCTCTCATCTGACAATAGAGTAATATAATTGCCATGATATGGATGGTTCCCAATATTAGGGCCCCATTTTGGTACCCCTGAATATTAGGTGCCGTAATATAATCCATAACCAAATCATGTTGAGAACAACCCATATACTAGCTTGCAGATCAGGAAGGCAGAGCCCTCAGGGCTTCGGACTCGGAGAAGAAAGTTTCAAGCGTCCGGCGTCAGAAAACATGCGTCCCCAGTTGAGTTCTGGTGAATTCCTTCCAAACGCCGAGCTGAAGGACTGCGCGACACAGATTTTCGAGTTCACAAACTGTCCTGTGGATATACATGGCCGCTGGCATCGCCCAACGCAGCCTGAAATTCCTAAGCCCCGACATCCGTTTTATTCTCTGAGCCTAGGATCTTAGCCGCTGGCCTTACCCCTACAAGCTGCTGAAGTGCGGACAGGCACAAGGTCATGTCCACAAAGCCTGGTCTGCTTTCACTCGACTAGGGTTCAGGGTTTTAGGGCACAGGGTGTAGGTGTAGGGTATAAGGTAGGTTTGGAGGCACTGTAAGACATTATATAGGAATTGAGGGAAAAACATTAAGAACTATTTTGAAACCCACCCCTGTTACGGGGCGCTCTTCAGAGGGTTCAGGTCGTTTACAGTCATACTCCCATGAGGTAGCGGAATTGCAGACCCCTGATTGATAACCCCCTTCCGTTCAAGGGCCTTGATATTACGATCCCTGCTTTACAAGCCCTATCAAGGGGAAGGGGTTTTATCAATCGCGGGTCTACACTAGCCATAAGTTTGACAAGCTGTCGCATAACCTGCGCTACCATTTAGTGGCCCGT